TCTGGTATAGTCTTAAAACCAAAGTGCAGCCACACGTCAGCTCTAAAAGCTGGAGGCGCCTTTATATTTTCCACCATGCTCACTCTTGCTTACTTCTGATACAGATCTACTTTGCGTTTTGTTGGTAGCGTGTTAGCGACATCTACTGGAGCAGAGGAGGAGGCTGTTTGGCACGACTTGCATCGATACTTCAACTCGGACTATCGATACACTATCGTGAAAGAAATTATCGCGATAGTTAGATATATCGATATTTTTGCACAGCCCTACAGTGAATCAGTAGCTTTTAGTGATTCTGAATCCGTTCAGCAATTGATTTGATGATTTGCATTAGGATGTTAAAAATTTACTTTGTGTTGATTAATTTGCGTTACTATTTTAATTGACAAAGCTTAATAATTTCTACTAAATCAATTGCAAGACATATGTGTGCCGTAATTATGATGAATACAGCCCTAATAAAATCTGTTTTGTAAATTGATGGTGGAAATATATCGAACAAATATATTTATTTTGTTTTTAGCTATACGTTTTTAGCTCAAAGTGCCGGTAGTGTTTGACGCCAAGAACCACTAATCATCTTTCATTTCCTGCTGAAACAAATCAGCAGAACTTTCGTAAATGTATATTTAGCCTTTTCACATAGGCCTTTCCCCCTGGCGTATTTTTGTGTCAAACGCCACAGAGAAGCGAGATCAGCCATCGGTGGCATACTGTGGAGATATGACTGAGGCCTCTCTTGTGTGCTCTCTGTGTCGCACGCACTCGCTCTCTCTGTTAGTGACGGTGCTGCTTGCATCAGTTCCTCGCATTTGTCTTAAGTTAACCAAACTGGCACACGTAATAAAAAGATTCAACTTCAGTCATGTTCATGTTGTGAAAAACATCATAAAAATGTCCACTGTTGATAATATTACGTCTGTTTCACACCACAAGCGTCAGCGGTGCGTAAGCAGAGCATGAGCAGCGCGTGTGTTTTCGGCGTCCATGTTAATAGATTAGAGCTTTCATACCGCACGCAGCAACAGCGCGTCAAAGCGAGGCGTGAACGTCGCAGAAGCAGCAGTGCAGCGAGTTTCGGCGCTGGGTCTATTTTTGACGCGCTGCTCACGCTCAATTAAAGTGACAGTGCATTGATAATGACCAAAACACATTGAATAACAGTAAAAAGTAGCAATTTTACCCAATAGATGCGTTAATAATGTCAAATGGTTTTCGTATAGTCATTCAAATGAACTTAAAATGATAAAAAACGGCAACAAACATTTATTTAAGCCCGAACTACAAAACCAAATGTAAAACAATTTTAGTATCAGTTTTGCTTAAGTTGCACGCTAGTGTTTCAGGAGAGGGGAAATAGAACATTTACGGGATTTGTAGTCCATAGCGAAGTGTATTGTGGGTAGTGTATTTCGACACGCATGCTGGATGATGTTAACTCGCTGTGTTCTGTGCAGCTGAGCAGAGGAAGAAAGTTTTAATCGGCTTTGTTTTATGTTCACTCGAGTTATTCCTACCGGGAGCTGTTTGCACTGTGAATCTGACAACACGAAAATAAGTAAAAGAATGGCATGCATTGGTTTTTTTTGTCCGTCTCATCCTCTGCACGAGCATGAATTAACGAGCTGTTATTCTGCCGCTGGACATCACTGAAGGGGAGAAAGTAACACTAGTTTGATCATGTATAAATATCATTATAACTATATTGTATAAATATTATTATAACTACAGTCTACAGCAACCTGACAATCAAAAAACAAATGACATGATATCACAGGCGATTGTCTTCTGACTGTAGACACTTCTCATATAGCTTGAGAAGCATACAGTACTATTTGATCTATAAAATTTGTTAAATAAACATTTGCAGGTTAAAGAAACAGCATAGGAGGGGCCTTGGTGTAGATGAAAAGTTTAAAAAGTGTATTTGTATATAGAGAGACATGGGTAACTAGATAGAATAGACAGACGCAGCTGGTGTGAAAGGCAAATGCCTGCGTGTTGCTTCTGCTCGACATACGCGCTGACGCTTGCGGTGTGAAACAGGCGTAAGACTTTTGTTTTCAATAGCGATTTTAAAACTTTTAACATAAGTAGTCCTCGGCTAAGCACAGGCTATTATTTATCAAAAATTGAGTTTAAATAGTTTTATGTGAGGAAATGCAGTCTTGAATTTACAAACAGTTAGCAAGTACCAGAAAACAGATTGATGTAACACATTGATCAAATGTAGTTTTCAGTCACGGTCATGTGCCATAAGATTTAACTTGTGTAGTTTTGCCTTCATTCGTTTTTGTTTTCAGTCGTGACAAAGCATGAGTGTTCAACACATGATTTATTACAACACGCTTTATAACATAATAGTTTAACTAAATTCTAATAATACTTTACCTGTCCCAGTCAGTGCCCAATATTTTGCAAGATAGTTGTATTCAGATTAAAGTCCCTTTAAGTATTCTATAGTTTTTGATTCAGATTAAAGTGTAATTTAAAACCTAAACTATGGCTGTTTCTCAATTCCAAGAACGCAGAGAACGGACTTGTGTTCTTGTGGAGACCGGTCTTGCCAGGTGTCCTCGGAAGAACGAACTCAGGAGACCGCGAGGGCAGAGAACGCGTCCTTTGAGAATTGAGATGCTGCGTTCTTCCTGATGGTCACATGACCTTCACGTGTTTTAAATGGTAAATTATTTAAACATTACAGCCTTCATACAACGATTTATTGTTTTTCCCCTTTTTAAATATATACTTTGCATAAAAAACAGTTTAAATATATGTTGCACAATATAAATAAAACAGATTTTAATACGAATTTCAGCAAACAAACACCCCTAATGTGTTTATTCCTTTATTAAGATGTCCATGGTAATGTTTATATTCACCGTTTCATTTAGGGAAACTCCTGAGGTAAATAATTCATATCTATGAACTTTAATAATAAATCTAGATAAAATGCAACGCTTCCCACCTCCAGTCGCAATGACTTCTGGGACTTCTAGAGCAAGTTCGGTGCTCAAGTCTGCATCAATGCATCCTCGATATCAAGAACACATCCGGGAAGTTTCACGCGTCCTCCGTACTTGCGGTCTTGAGTATTGGAACTGAACTTAGGCAGCTGATGATGACGTTTCACAAGAACACGAGGACGCAAGACCGCTGAAGAACGCATATTGAGAAACAGCCTATGTGTCTGTGCCAATAACCTAGTGGTTAAGTGCATAGCCATATAGCACCATGGAGCTCATGGCAACCAGAGTTCGATTCCTGGCTCAAGGTCCTTTGCCGACCCTTGCCCTCTCTCTGCTCCCAATACTTTCCTGTCTGTAACCTTCACTGTCCTTTCCAATTAAAAGTGAAAACCCCCCAGGGTTCAACACTAAGGATTTTTTATACGGGTCCGATCGGGCCATTGGTTGAGATTTTTACTTGCCCTGCCAAAATTTTCACTGGCCCCACCAAAAAAAACGAAAAAGTTAATAGCAATTTCTTAGTCACATATTTTAAATAGTGGCAAAATTATGCCTGTGAATCTAGAATTTAAACATTTTAAATATGTTAATAAATGTATAATGAGCCAAATTCAAGATTTTATGCAAATGAAAGAGCAGTATGAAACATGTGCTGGTATTTTGATGCAATTCTAAATATTTTTTTTATAAAAATGGCTTGCCAAACTGACAACTGTTTTTTTGTGTGTGTGCTTTTTTCTGTTTCTTTTTGTACCCATGTAATTGTCTGCTTCTAAGACTTTAGAAACAGATGTTTTCTTTTAGCCTCATTGTTTAATTTTGCCACCATGTTGCCATCTTTTCGCTGTAATGGTTGTTACCAAGTTACAAAAAAAAAACGTGCTCATCGTTACTGGCTGATAGGGGCCAGTAACAATCCTGTCTACTGTCCCGAGTGTCTTTCATGCTGGCCCCGGGCCACCAGGCAGTCCTTATTGTTGAGCCCTGCCCCCTAAAAATAATTATTTAAAATAATAACTTTACTAGGTTGTGTTAACAAGGAAAGTTAGAATATTTAGTCAAGTTGTTGTATGACTGGTTTGGTATGTAGACAATCGAAAACATATAGGTCTAAAGTAAATGTGAGGCTAATAATCCTGACATTAATTTTTTCTTTTTATTAAACTACAAGAAATAAGACTTATTATGACTCCAGAAGAATTATGTTTGTTTTATAGGAAATACTGTGAAAATGTTCTTGGTTAATTAAAGATCACATGGGAAACATTATTTTAAATTAATGGGAGGGCAAAATATGTACTTCAACTGCGTCTGTTAAAAGTTTACAGGTGCACAGATGTGCCTTGATGTACTTGAATATTAATAATGTGTTGTCCTACTACAACACAAAGTTACTTGTCAAATAAATTAACAAGGAAGATTATTTTGAGTTTAAGTTTGTTAATTAGCTTGTTCGTGAAGACTGCAGAGTGATGCATGAATAAAAAATGACTTTGAAAAACTGATTAAGTAGTTTGTGATGCATGTTAAAAGTGTGCTCACTAAAAGTACAAGTGGCCCCTGCCCGGCCCACAACAGTCACTCTGGTCTAGAACCTCCGCTAGTGATGGACAAACCACATCAGTGTTAGATCCTAATCAGTTTTCAAATGAAAGTGAACGTTTGTTCAAGTCAAATGTAGCCTGTTTATTTGATTTAAACACTTTTTAGAGAAATATTTATGTTTTGTTTTGATGTTTTGACAGTTTTATAGACATTTGAGCCATAAATAGTCGAAGAATTACCATTTTAGAGTTCCTGTGATATGAATCAACTTCATGCAATAATATCTGAATCTAAATGTTAAAAAAAACAAATAATATATGAATATATTATAATGCACACCTAACTAGGGCCAAACCACTCCACTGACTTCTATGATGACGTCAATATTTTGGAACCGCGGTGATGATGTAATGACCTGCAGTGTGACGACAGATCGGAGTTAACAGCTAGTTTTGGCCAGAAACATGAATTTCAGTTCAAACTCACGATATGTAGGCAGGATAGACGAATCCGATGAGGTTGCAGAGCAGAGAAGCGCCGTATCCGATCACCAGATAAATAGCAATGAACGCGATGACAGCTGCAAGACAAAAGATAGCATCAGCCTCCTGTCAGCTCCGTCGACGTTTTCATCCATTATGTAATAAGCTTAGTCGTGAATAAACAAGTCCCAAACATACTAGTAAAACGGTTGGGTTAGGCTGGGTCATATTTCCGTGTAGAAAACGACTAGCACGCATGTGTTCCTGGTAAAGATCTGCTTCCCGCAATACTCACCATATGCGATGTACGACCTGTTCACTCCAGTCTTCGCCTCAATCTTCGCCAACAAGTCCGTCACCATATTTTTCTCGTGGAGGGCATTGTCGAAGCGCTGTTTTAACGCGGCCGCCATGATTTGTCTGAAGGGATGGTGGTTTTGTTGCAATGTGAAGTAAAACTCATGAACAGCAGCCCAACAACTCCCGCTACTCTCACCAGATCAGTGTCACTTTACACGCTGAGGGCGTGACGTCACGGCACCACTTCCTCGACCACACCCGGTCGTCAGAGGAGCGGGCCATGAAAGAGCTCGTATTATTTTTAACATCGTTTATTTTAATAAATGTCACTCTCCAAACATGTGTACAGATTTATTTATAAATGTGTTTGTACGAAAGGCTGAATGCAGACAAGATATCCTGTTTACAGTGTAACAAAATCACATAAAAGTCTTTTATATTTAAATATATACCATTACAGGGGATACATTTATAATACAAAGTGGAAAAAAGAAAAAAACAAATAATAGAAGTCCATTAATCCTGAAAAAGTGCAAGAGCGGAGTAAATAGCAGTTTGAATAGCTTTCATATTGACGTTCCCCACATTGCAAAATATCTCTGGCCCAGCTCTGGCCAACACAATCAGGTTTTGCTTGGCCCACATGCCGCGGGGAATTACGGTAGCCTACATGACTGGACCAAATTTGGCTTCCAGACAAGGGCCAAACACGGACCAAATCTGGGTCAAGTCTCAACCAAGTTAATAACTCATAACTGGGTCTGAACCTGGCCAGATAGGTTGTGTGTCATGATTGCAATGAATTGATACACCCATGAAGCGTTGTGCTTTAGGCACACTATGGGCATGCTTTTTGCTCAAAGCGATCTAATTGGTAGAATTTTTTTCTTAACTCAAAAATTATTTTAATGTATTTTAAATGTGGGTCAAGACTGACCAAAGTCACATGGCCCACATATCAATTGCTAAAATCTGGGCCAAATACAACATTTTACATCTGGCCCAAATCTTGTGTGCCGAGACGGTGCCACCTCTGCCAAACCCGGGTCATGTTTGACCCACATGCTGTATGCCAGTGCCGGATGAATGCCAGCTGTGACAGCTTTATGCCAAATCTGAGCCAGAATTCTTTGCTACAACAGTCAGGTTCAAATATATATATATATATATATATATATATATATATATATATATATATATATATATATATATATATATATTTGCATATGCAAATGTAACTATTGCTATATTGTTTGTAGGGTCTAATACCCGAATAATGTTCTACAAACCCACTAAAAAGCCTTGTAAAATGTTACAGTCGACAAACCCACATAGAAAATGTTTTCTGGCCCAGCTCCGGGCCACACAATAACTTTCCCTCGGCCCAAGTACCACAAAGAATGACGGTCCTGAAGTGGCCCATAACTGGATTAAAGAAAAGAGCCACACATGGACCATAACAGGCCCGAATCTCTACCAATTTATATCCTTTTAACTGGCCCTGAACTGACCAGTTAACCTGATCAACACCACCCTTTAACCAGAAACCCCAAAAACGGAGCCATAACCCAGCCTAATGTTACCTAAACACTGTAAACGATCACTACACTGATCTGGGCCACCCCTCCTATCCACAACTGGCCCAAATGTAGTTTGCCGACCAGCATGCAGTGCCATCATTACCACAGAATTATCATGTTAGAAATAAAATTAAAGAAATAACCTATAAACTTCTCCACAGATTTTATACAGCAAAACATTACTTACAAAAAGTTTAAAAGGAAATTGATGTGAACTGTATTTTTTGTAATGAATATGAGGAGACACTTTTACACTTATTTTGGCATTGTGCATACTCAGTCAAAGATTTATTAATAAGAAATTATAGTGTTCTGAACCCCTTTCATTGTTGTGGGAAAATGTACTTTTTGGCTTTATTATATACCCTAGTCAATAGGATTTTTTTAATTTATTTAATTAATTTATTTATTTTGATAACAAAATTTTACATTCATGAATGTAAATTTACCTATAAGAAACCGAATTTAAGGTATTGATGACTGAATTATGCTTATATACAGTATTAGTAGAGACTTTTGTAAAACTTTGTGAATTCTACAATGTATTTATTTGATTATTACATGTGTACATTTTGTATTTTTGCATTTGATTTATGCTTATATATGTATATTTTTAGTACTTTTAAAATGTTAATGTTATAATAAAAATACATAAAAAACACCAACCAGCCAAACATGTTAACCACTGAAGCCCTCTGTGATTGGTTGTTGGCGATGTTCGTTAAACCGAGCGTGACTGTGATAGGTCAAACAGAATTTGCGCGCTGTCATTGGTCCCGCCTAATCTCAAGAGCGTCCACGAATTCGCGTTGCTATATTTTTAGCCAGTTAGCATCGGCGTCGTAGTTATAAATTCCCCAGCGCTGCCTGCTCTTTTAACGTCAAGTGTTTGACTAGCCAGAAATATGGACTTGAGTCACGTATTATAAATGCGAAGCACGCAAGTTTGGTAGCTTTGCGCTGTTTTTAATGCACTAGTCTTGCTTGTTCGGGATGTTTTTACCCTTAACATGGAGACAAAAAGAGGGGAGATTCCAAGAGGTTTACTGGATGACCTTTGCAGGTAAACCGACAGAATACACTCACATATGACAGCATGATTAAAAGTAACGTTAACTGTACTGTAGGTTTAATATGCGTTCAAATTAAGTTAGTTTGAGCAGTCGAGTGCTGTGTAACTGTCTTTGTTGTAAGGATGTGTTGCAATACATAAATGAAGCCACTAACGTAGACAGACTTTAAGGGATTGAAGAAGATACCTTCGCAGTGAGCTCTGCGCTTTTGTTTATCATTGGTGCGTTTTGAGGCTGCAGGATGTTTGTGTTGTGCATCACATGCGCGTTTTAAGTCAGCTGCAGTTTTGGACACGTGCCAATTCGTCTATATGTTGGCTGTACATGTTTGTAAACACTGTGCTGTCCTGCAGTCTGAAGAAGAGTATATTAATAGCTGCTGTTAATTATTTTCTCATTTCGACCTAAACGGTCAATTGACTGACTACTTGTAGAACTACTTCCGTACTACGGTTTCCGCATTTCCGGTGATAACATTTTCATTAACAGATCATGAACAGTAAGGTATTAATACTTTTTAAAGTAAACAAAAGACTGAGATAACAAACAAGTTGAAGACATATATACAGTTGAAGTCAGATTATTAGCCCCCCTGAATTATCAGCCCGCTCATTTATTTTTTTTTCTCAATTTCTGTTTGACGGAGAGCAAATTTTTTTTTTACCACATTTCTAATCATAATAGTTTTAATAACTGATCTCTAATAACTGATTTATTTTATCTTTGCCATGATGACAGTACATAATATTTCACTAGATATTTTTCAAGACACTTCTATACATCTTAAAGGGACATTTAAAGGCTTAATTAGGTTAACAAGGCAGGTTAGGGTAATTAGGCAAATATTGTATAATGATGATTTGTTCTGTAGACTATCAAAAAATATAGCTTAAAGTGGCTAATAATTTTGACCTGAAAATGGTTCTTAAAAATTAAAAACTGCTTTTATTCTTGCCGAAATAAAACAAATAAGACTTTCTTCAGAAGAAAAAAAATATTATCAGACATACTGTGAAAATTTCCTTGCTCTGTTAAACATCATTTAGGAAATATTTAAAAAAGAAAAAAAAATCCAAGGGTGTTAATAAATCTGACTTCAACTGTAAATAAATAAAATATCGAGAGAAAAAAATAATTATGAATAAAATAAATGCTAAAGAAAAAATATATAGCAGGCGAGTTGAAGTTCTCACAATATGAAACCAAAATCTCCAAATAATGAATATAAATATCTAGCATTTCGGCTTTTCATCTCTCTTAATGTCTCTCTTATTACACATTTTTCTTTAAGCACCACTAGTCTTGGGGGAATTTAGAAAAAATTACACGTAGGCATGAGACGATAACTGTTTTCAAGGTAAACTGCAGTTTGGACAACTCAAGGTTTTAATACTAAAACCTTAAAACTTTGTAAAACTTTCTGCCATATACAGGGTTCATACGCTCATTGAAAACCTGGAAAAGTTATGGCATTTTCCAGGGCTGGAAAAGTTTTGGAAAAACAGACAAATCCAAAAGTTTTAGAAAAGTGATGTAAATTAGTTAAATAAATATCTGTACACTTGAATCAGGGCTGCACGATATTGGAAAACTCTGACATTACGGTATTTTGTATTTCTGTGATGTATATTGCGATGTGAATACAATTTCACTAGATGATTTAACAGGTTTATTTGGATAGATTGGGGGGATTTTGTAGAGGAGGGAATCACAAATAATATATAACAAATAAATCACAAGCAGAGATAAATAAAATATAGTAAAGATAAAAGTAAATTATAGTGTTAAAGTTTTCACTATTCAGGTACACATATTGAATAATCAGCACTGCATAGTCTTCATTGTTTATTATTTAATCTTTATTAAAGTCACAAAACATTTTTTCTGGCCGGATGTTTTAAACTCTGAAATATTGAAATGTTCACACAGTCACAGGCCTTAAAGGGACAGTCCACTCAAAGATTAAAATGTTCTAACTATTTACTCACACTTCACTTGTTTCAATTCTATAGCAGTTATTAAATTTTATTCTCTTTGTGTTCATTAAAAAAGAAAACTCATAAATGTTTAAAACAACTGAAGAGTATAATGAAAATGGTAGGTAATTTTGGGTGAACTATCTCTTTAAAAATGCGTGCAGATGATAAACTTTTACTCCACTATGATTAAACTCTATATTAAACTATAATCTCAACATTGCATATCCTGTGATGTGACTATTGCGGATGCACACATCACAATATTGCACAATATTCAATATTGGTTAGTTGTCTTTTCTACTTTTCTGTTCTTGGCCAAAAACTTGCTCTCACATTGTTAGTGCTGTGTAAGCATTATTAAACACAATTTTACATAGATAAAAACAAACTGAAACAAAATAGATTGTTGTGTTCTATGATATGCTGTAATAAATTTGAACATCATTGTTTTTTTTTATTATTTACCATCGATATGTTGACATTACTTGAAACATTACGTCATGAAAATGTGCTTGAAAGTTCTGGAAAAGTCTTTGAAAAGTCATAGAATTTTAGTAGTAAAAATGTGTACAAACTCTATATATCGTTTTTTTTATGAACAGCGGTATCTCCAGCAGAAAAGATCTCCAAAAATGCCTTTTCAGGTTGAAAGAAATTATTATTTTTTAAACTAAGGACAGCAATAGTCAATGATTTATTTGAATTATTTAGCCTGACATGTTTACTGCTTCAAAATATTATAAATGTTTCTCAAAATAAAATATATTGTGTTCAAAGGAGGAAAAAGTTTTAGTTTTTTATCCGGACATTTAAATGTATATTTTAGAGCAGCAATTACAATATCGTGAAACCGTGATATTTTTATCCAAGGTTATCATACCATCAGAATCTTATACCATGCCTAATTACATTTATGAATGTAGAATTGTAATAATATCAACAAATTATTAATTATAAGATATCTTTTTATCGTTAAGTATTCCGTAATAACATTTGCCTTCCCTACATGCATAAAGCTCACTGCGCTGTGATTATTTTTTCCCTCCCCCTTTTAAAAAAAATAATAATAATTTAAGATACAATTCTTGTATAATGTACAATTCTTCTACATTAACTATTACATTTAGCTCCATTGACTCTCAATTGGCTGCTTATTAATAGTTATTAAAGTGATAGTTCACCCAAATATGAAAACTGCCATCATTTACTCACTCTTTACTTGTTACATTCCACTTTTTTGTTGTTGTTGAGCACAAAAGAAGATATACTGATGAATTCTGGAAACCTGTAACCATTGACTTCCATTGTAGGATAAACAAATACTATGGAAGTCAAGAGTTACATGGTTGAAAACATTTTTCACTATATTTTTTTGTGCTAGTACAAAAAAACAAATGTAAATTATGCCAGAATTTTTTTTTAGGCGAACTGTCCCTTTAAAGTAGAGTGTAATGTATTTTATGTACAAATAAACAGCCAGTGGTATAGTAATACGCATGTAATAACTTGATTATAGTGAGAACTAGGGATGCTCCGATCGTTCAGCTGGACATCGATATCGGCCGATAATTACATTTACATTTATTATAGTATTAATGTTTGTGTGTGTGTGTGTGGTTTTTATCCTGTAGTCGCTTCATTCTTCACATCCCCAGCGAGGAGAGGGACAATGCCATCAGAGTTTGCTTCCAGATTGAGCTCGCCCATTGGTTTTACCTGGACTTCTGCATGCAGAATTCACCAGGACTACCTCAGTGTGGGATAAGAGACTTCGCCAAGGCTGATATCCTTAAGAATCATTTTAATATAGCATTCAACAATTCACCCAAAAACGAAATGTTTTCTGCCTTCATTTATACTCCTCCAGGTTGTTGCAATCCTGCATACATTTCTTTGTTCTGCTAAAGACAAAGGAAACTATTTGAAAAAATATCAGTGACAAAACGGATCTTTTAAATCTATGGTAACATTTTGATAATGCTCACACAAAACATACAAGAGACTGAATGTTATTCTTTGCTCGGGTCTCATTTAAAAACGTGACGCACTCACAAGAATGGGGGTGGAAATGTGCATATAATACTTGGTTTTATAGGTTGTGACCAGGGCTTCACATTAACTTTTTTTGATCACCAGCCACTGTGGCTAGTAGTTGTCCAGCATTACTAGCCACTCACCATTTTCACTAGCTACACTTTTGTTGTTGGAAAAATATATTTTATATACATTAATCTGACCAGGGGTGTCCAAACTCGGTCCTGAAGGGCCAGTGTCCTGCTGAGTTTAGTTCCAACTTCCTTCAACACACCTGCACCTGCAAGTTTCTAGTATCTGTAGCAAGAGCTTGATTAGCTGATTCAGGTGAGTTTGATTAGGGTTGAAGCTAAACTCTCCAGGACACTGGCCCTACAGAACAGAGTTTGGGCACCCCTGAATTTGACTTTGACATGCTAAAATTACTTGATTTTTTTTTTTTTATAATTATGTTTATTGGATTTTCACTACAATACAGACATAACAAAACATCTTCAAAAGACACACACACAAAATAACAACACAAAACAATGTAGGGAAGAAAAGGAAAAAAAGCTCAATTACATATAATGGCTTGTTTCCACTGATTGGTACGGTTCGGTTTGGTACGCTTTTATGGCCGTTTCCACTGTTCAAAGGCGTACCGAACCAAACCGTACCGTACCACTTTTTTGGCACCCTTTTGAAAGGGTCCCAAACACAAGAAAGGGTATCAAAAGGCGGAGCTAGATGCGCAGCTGAACGCTATTAGTTTACAGAGATACGTCATTCGCTTAGGCAACAAGCCAGAATGTAAACAAAGGACCCGCCATGTTTGAAACACACAGCGAGAGTTTACTTGCGCTCACTGCGCGTCTATATCTGAAAAAACAAACCTCTTGAGTTGATGATAATAACTTGCGCTTAATTATTGACAAGCTTTGAAAACCCGATCCTGTGAAAAGCTGACAAACGCGAGAATGACACATTCAAAAAGAAAAGGACAAACGCGAGAGTGGAGCGCGGAAAAAAGAGGAAACCAAGGAGCACGTTATTTCTTCAGCAAACTGAACAAACTGCCTTGTTTTAATTTTTATCATCACCTTTTGGACTAATATGAACTGAGAACAATGGAATGACTCTCTAACAGAGGCTACATGTGCTGCTAAAGATTACAGAAACAGATGAGAGGTTTTCACTGACTGTAGGCTATACTTTGTGTTGTTTTGAACCTAATTAAGGACGAAATGTCTGCTGTGTGTACTTTTTCTGTAGTTCGTAACATATCGGAGACTGTAAGTATCTGTATGTGTTCATATATGTTCATTTTTTTATTTATTTAAAATAATTACAGACGTTACAGTAGGCTGTTTCACACTCTCATTGATCTGCAGTTATAATCAACTCATGTTCATAGAAATGTTAGTAATAAACATTTATACAGAAGTGTCTATGTGTGTAAAGCGTCTGTTTTGTGAGAAGTGCTTTTCATATGATATGTGAGCGACCTGTGCAGCTTTATTGTAGACATTTTCTCGAGCGAGCATGACGTCGACTGAAACTTTGTCATACACCACGCCCACCAAAAGGGTACCCTTGGTAGTGGAAACTCAAGCCTGATAAAGGTGACCCGTACCAACCCGAACCGTACCGTACTGTACTAGTCAGTGGAAACAAGGCATTAAAACAGCACTATCCCACATTGAACAGATCAGAAAAAAATGATAATAACATTGCTTGTTTTTCAGATACCGATACAGTTCCAATATTCCTTTCAGCATAATAGGGCAAAAACTAGGTTCCAAATAGTCCAAATATGGAGTCCAAACTACTTTATTTTTAGATTTTGTGTTATGTCCACATGCCTCCTTATTAATTTTCATGCCTCTCCTTTATTCATTTAGCCACCTTTTGGGTGGATTTAATTTGATATCTGTACTACCTTTTAATTAATAATGATACAAATAAATTCAGAATCTAATAATACTGTAATATAATGCTGTCTTCTTGATGTAATTGTACATTTTTATAATGATTTAGTTTGATTAGTAAGAGTCGCATACAACGCTGTTATTCTATTTAGTTTAATTTGAATATTAAATCGACATGAATGTTTTATGTTCATGAATAAAATACCTACATAGAAAACTGAGAATGTGAATAATGGTAATGTTTGTCAATCAGCTCTCCACTGTAAACAACCACAGTAAAATACTTAGTTTTATTTATTACTTATTCTTCAGTACATAAAAAAATTTAAAAAAATAAATCTGACATTAAAAAATGTTCAGCACCCCTGTAAACATCTAAAATCTTTATTTGACAAATACCAACTTCATCCGCAGTAAAGACAGCAACACAATACAATAGACTCTGTTTAAAGTCCTGTTTTCTTGGTTCAAGCAGAAATCTGGATGATCTGTAATGTGATTTTTTTCTTTTATAAGTCAGATGTCTCACCTTGAATGCAGACAACAGAAAACAGTCGTAGTCACAGTCTAACGGTATCGGTAGTAAATATACAGCTGTCTGGGTGAGTTCTCTATGGAGTTCTGTGTAGGTGGAAGTCATGATACACTGCGTGGAGTGAAACCGGACATCGAGTGGCTTCATGTGAAAAGGGTCTATTCGTATGCACAAATACAATATTGTAAAGCTTTCTATATAAAATGATTTGTGAGGGCTATACTCGTATGTTGAGCGCAGTATATCTAAATAGATTTTTAGATGCCCCTGGCCTGTAAATCTTTTTTTCTTTCATCTCAGCCATTAATTGAGCACTCATTGAAATACTCAGTGGAAAAACCCTGGAGTGTGCTGATGGTTATTACAAGACTTTTAAACGTGTATGATTTGAATTGTATATTATAAAAGTACACATTATTTTATTGTAATCAATGTCAATGAAGTTTTCATTTATGAGGTAAAGGATGACGTTGGATGGAAATTCATCCAAAACATTTTTTCTTTCTGCATCTTTCCTTAACATTGCAATCACTTTTTAGTCACTGTCCATTCCTGCTGCCCCAAGGAGAGGATGTTCAGAAGGTTTTAGAACAGTGGAAAGAATATAAGATGGGTGTGCCTACATTTGGTGCCATTATTCTGGATGAAACACTTGACAATGCAAGTTTACATCTGCTGAAAGATTTATAACCGCATTACTTTAAAGATCCTGATGTTCTTATTGAAGTTTTGTTTTCTGCCTGAAGGTGTTGATGGTCCAGGGTTATTTGGCCAAGTCTGGCTGGGGTTTTCCTAAAGGAAAAGTCAATGAAGATGAGGCTTTCCATGACTGCGCTGTGAGAGAAGTATGCACTTTTCCTTGGCTTCAAAAAAATAAACCAAGATCTTGTGTATTTATAGGTCAATATAATGGAAACCATGTCAATGTTGTTTTTCAGGTTTTAGAAGAGACAGGATTTGACATCAGAGATCGTATTTGCAAGAAGACGTATATAGAGCAGAGGATTTCAGATCAGCTGGCTCGATTGTACATTATACCAGGAGTTCCTAAAGACACCAAGTTCAACCCAAAGACCAGAAAAGAAATTAGGGTGTGTATATGACTTTTTTTTTTTGGTCAAAATATATTTATTGCCAGTTTGTTACAACTTCAGATTCAAATGAAAGAAAGAATCGGGGGCAGTGATCTTAAAATAGCCATGAAAAAGTCATGAGTTGCTTATGTAGCAATAAATAAATAAACAAACTAACACAAAACATGCTTAAAATCAATTTTTTCACAGCTTTCCATTGTGTTATTTTGACTTTTAATAGCTTTCAGTAATTATCGAGTCTGTTGGAATTAAAGATTCTTATGGACTTTGCTTAAACATGATGTAATGGATCGAATGTTAGCAGGTAAATTATTCCAATATATTAGACCCTTAAACATAATTGGCTCTATTTTGACGATCCATGTGCAAAGTCCAAAGCGCAGGGCGCAAACGCATTAACGGTGTGTCAGAATCCACTTTTGCTATTTTAAGGACAGAAAAATCTGCTTTGCGCCGTGGCGCATGGTCTAACAGGGTTGAGCTTATTCTCTTAATGAGTTATGGGTGTGTTTTGAGAATAAACCAATCAGAGTCTCATCTCCCATTCCCTTTAAAAGTCAGTTGCGCCGCGCCATAACGCATTTGCTATTTACATGGCGGACTTTGTAAGTGGAAAAACAGAACACTTCACTAGAGAGAAAACAGTTAAACAGAGCATCCAGCAAGAGAGAGATGAGCTTCCTCATTATTTACTTTCGCTTTCACTCTCGTGGATAGGGAAACGTGTTGTACGGACAGATATCCATTAGTCTATACTTATTTAGTTTGTTAAGAGCAAAGATTTGTTTCAAACTATTTCTAAATTTAGTTCTAATTTCCAGCAAACGAATAAATGAACAATAATAATGAAGTGTGGTCAAAAAACTGAGTTATTTCTTAATACACATGCTGTGCCCTCTATGGTCTAAAACCTAATCTAATCAAATAGAAATAGATAAAGCAAATCTAAGCTTGTTTTTAATTAAACAAATATAAGTATGCATATAATAAATAATACTGCTAATAATGATAACATTACACAAAAGCAAATTGTTATGAATAAACTTTAAAAGCCCCCCGAGATGAAGAAGGCATGAAAGTATGGTTTTTATATTTATGTAGGCTAGAAAATAATAATTTTTGTAATATTTTAATCCTTTAATTCTTTTTCTTTAATATGACATCTTGTGTGCAAAGATGGCCACTGCAGCAGATCAAACATAACACAATGATGTGTGTAAAAAGAACAACCCAGAGCAAATCTGCGAAGTCTGCATTGTAAGATGGTACATAAGATCCCTAATCCAATGATTTAAAGTTTAGGAAATTTGTCCTTCCATTTAAGCAGTATAGGACGTCTAGCAATTAATGTTGAAAAATAAATCATGCTTTTGGTATTATTGTATAAACTGGGATCTGTAATTAAACCAAATATTCCTTCAATAGGGCAATAGTCAATTGATACATTTGAAAAGAAATTAAATAATAATTGCCAGAACTTGGTCATTTTAGAACATGACCAAAATTTTTGTGTGATTAGCTATCTCTACTTCACATCTATTACATAAGGGCTAATTTGGCTAATTTAGTTTTTTTTCCAATGTAGGCGATGTACCACTTTAAACTGAATAATTGTATGTTGCAAACAAATTGAAGTTGAGTGAATTTTATTTATAATGTCTTGCTAAATGTCCTCTGAGAGAATCAACTCAAGTTCATTTTCCCATTGTTGTTTCGACATTACTGAAGTTAGATTATGTGAGGAGATAAAAGAGTAAATCACACCTATATTACCTTTTGAGAACTGGGTTGTTTACATGTTCATTATTAAACATTAAAAATGATACTGCATCATTATTTATTATGTTTTAAAGCAACGTTTTTAAGTTATTTAAAAATAATACGGTAGTACATGAGAAATTACAAATGGTCATTTTAATGTAATTCAGTTTGGCATATTTAACTTTGGCCCACAGCTCTAGTTTAGTTTTAAAAAAAGTTTAGTTTTTGGCTTATATAAGAAAACATTTGGGCACCCCTGATTTAGAGGCACTTGAGTGTAAATAATAAGAAATTTTCATTCTTGGGTGAACTACCCTTTTAATTTCTCTGCTGTTTTGATTCCTGACAGAACATTGAATGGTTTCCAGTGGAAAAACTGCCTTGCCACAGGAACGATATGACTCCTAAATCCAAGCTTGGATTGGCTCCTAACAAGTTTTTCATGGCTATTCCATTCATGAGGTACATCTTCTCTTTTTGTCTCTTTAATGAGAATCTTGTGTTTTTGCTTGGGTGAAGTGTAACTGAGCTGTAATGTGCCCGTCTGCAGGCAGCTCAAAGAATGGATTGCCAAACACAAAGGAGAGTCGACCAGCAGTGATGAGGATTTTGCGTCCAATGGCAGCACACCATGCAAACCATTCCGGTACGGTGATTGTTGCCATAGAAACCCTTAACCATCATATTTTACTTATTTTCCACAGGGAAAACATTCACCATCATGTTTAGATATTATATTTGCATAAAAAGCTTCTAGTGCGTTGAAATAGTGTTTACAAACTATAATAATTCTTAGTTTTCAGTCAGATGACTAGTAGCATGACCTGGAGGGTGAAACGCAGAACTGAAGTACAGACCTGTCTGATTTCTTTAAAGGTACTGTAGAAATAAAGTCTTGGCATATCTGAATAGTTAGTGTTCAGAACTTGGAAATGATATACTGTGAGCCTCAAACACCATTGTTTCCTTGTTCGTATGTAAATCATGTGAGTGTAAAAACAGGTCAGATAAAATTATAAACAGACTCTGAAGTTCCACATGAAATCATTAATATGCATGTCCCAGGCTGGGGTGTGTTTCCCAAAACCATCATTAGCTAACTAAAGTCGAAAGTTCCGTCGTTACAAATATAGTTTTTTAATTTGCCATTACCCAAACCCGTCGCTCCAATGAACATTCGCAAACTGCGTCACAAACCTGAGCACTTGCAACTACACCTCTGGAGCTGTAGTTTAAAACATAGTTCCTGGCTGTGTTCTATTCCCACTTATCCCCCCTATGCCCTATTCATTTAGAACATTCTAACATTCAAAGTTGGAATTTTTTAAAAATAAAAAAAGCATTAGGGTCATCTTTCTTAGGTTTAATTTGCTGCCAAACTATTTTTACAGTTTAGTTTTAGCGATCTTCATGTTTACAATTGTGCTCCCTTCGCAGTGCACTTTGAAAACATTGATGTCATTTTGAACACAGCTTCATGGCGAAAGCTATAGGTGACCTATTATTTAAAAGCAGAATTTATGTTACGTCTCCAAAGCTTGTGAAAACAAAAAGCATACGATAATTCTTTTAATTTTTAATTCTTTTAAATCATCATCATCATTAACATTATTATTAAAGTATGATTTTTTTTCATTTCTAATAAATAATAAATATTAAATTTCATTTTATAATAAATAACCTCATTATTTATTTAAGTATATGATTTATATGATATTAGAATAAATGTTAGCTTTTGTAAGTGATATATTTTAGAATAGGATATGTAATGTTCAACTTCACAGGCCCTATGTGCCATTTACATATATTTCAGTTAATATGGAAAGCGAGTGCATGTTTTTACCAAATCTAATATTGGATTTTATTTTACATGTGTGTGCGTGTAAAACAATATCATTTGCACAAATCAATTATGGCGTTTTCTCTAAAGAAGTAGTTACTCCACCCAGTTTAGAGCGTCATTATGAGCGTTTTACGATATAACTATTGTGGTTCAAGCAATGAATCTGCGACAGAGAAACTATGGGTTTTGGGAAACACTCGTCACTATATCTTTCTTTTCCCAAACGATGCATTGTACTATGATAGTTCAGCCGCAAGTTACGTCGATGTTTGGGAAACGAACCCCTGGTCAGTAGAGGAACATGTAGTTTTGCCCTGCAGGTGGCTATTCCTATCAGGGTATGAAATCATGTGAAAATTATAGCTGCGTCCAAAATTGCTACTTGCTACAAAATTGCTACTACTTAAGTACTTTACAACCATTAGAAAAGCTTATTGTGTATGTAGTGTGAATGTAAATTGTATGGATGGAATTCGGATGTACTACATCTGTAATGTTGTCATTATTACATCACCTCCACTATTCATTCCTATTCATACATTTTCTCCTGTGGCCTCATGGTATAATAAAAGTATCCATTAAATGTGCAACTTAAATTTCAGGAAGAAGTAGGTCACCTGCATACTTTTTCCGTTAATAAAAATTTATAATATTAAGCTCGCATACTGGTTGCAAACTTGGACGTATGAACAGCAGGGTTGACGGATCAGTGTAAACTTAAGATGCTAACCAGTTAGCTTGTTAGTTCAAAGGTTTTTTTTTTTAAACTGCTCTGTAAGGGTAAACAGAGTTGAAGTTGACATGCTTGCTAAGGCTTGTGTGTGTTCCTCCTTCAGTCTTTTACATGGCACATTGTGTTAATTGAGCTTATAATAAGGTTATTTATGCATTTGTCAAGGCATTATACTATATGATGACTACATTTCACATTATATGCTCAACAGTATACAAATGTTTCATCTTCAATTTTAGAACTTTCAGCGAATTCTTCTTAAATAGACCTTTTTAGCCTCTGTGTGGCACACTGGTAACTGTTGCAACCAGAAAATGGGGACTTTAGCAAGTGTGTTTTAGAGATACTGCATAAAAGTAGAACTTCTTAACCTCTTAAGGCCCAAGCTGTTTTTTTACATGCATTTTTTATTTCTCTTTGCTATTTGGGCTTATTTGAACCTAATTAGAATAAAACCTAAGGATCATCTTTTGATATAATGTACTTTTAGAGAAAAATGATGTCCATGTATGTCGACTCGTGGTCATTTTTGAACATGTTTTGACTATCAGAGAGTAAAAACAAATTTTCCCATTTTGGACAGTTAAAAATAGAGTTTGGGACTTTGCATTTACTGCAAAACAGTTGCAGAATGACACTGAATGCTTTATATTTTGTTACAGACAGGTTCACTTGGGCTTTGGCGCGAGACATGACTTTTACGGGTCTGTTTCATACGGATTTATTAATCATACTTACTGTTCATTAAACGCAAACTGCCGTAGATTATTAAAGATGAGAACTCCTCGCAGCAAGACAGCTGCGCGGCTTCAGCAGACCTTCTCATTCCTGCAGCACGAGGGCTTTATGATTGTTTATGAGCACCAAAAGTGGCGGATCTCTTTGGCGAAATATCTGACTGCGTGTCACCGCATTCTTAAGGACTGTTTGGCAAAATATTTGACTGCATGTCACTACATAACAAACCACTGAAACGATATAACTAGAGAAATCTGCACTGTGCTGCTGAGTGAGAGAGCGCTTCTCAGTAAACAGCACAGCAGCGATGACGTAAGCGTGCCGAGGCCCATTTGTGGTGTGAGCGCAGGCCGTCGCGGGAGACGGGAGGGGGGACAAGCGTGCTTTGGCCCGGTTCGAGGCAACTGTACCTAGTGTGAGTACGGCCTAAGCCCTAGGAGGTTAAGCATAAAAACACCATAATATATGAGCAGATATTTAAGAAACATGCTAATTGAACCTACTAGTTTACCTGAAAAAACTATGCTAAAGTCGGTTATTGTCCTTTTGAAAAAGGGTGATCCATGTCAGTTTGTTTTGGTCTCTATATCCCGCCCTCTGGCAGTTCAGCCAATTATGTTTTGGCACCCAGGGTTGCGTTGGTAGAAAACACTGCTTAATTCATTTAAGTCATGAAGGCTGCTTCAATATATGTGTGCGCCGCTGAGAATGTCACAGCAGCAGCAGCATCAAAGTGAGACGCAGAATAAAGTATTACATATGTAAACACTAGCTTAGTAGCTTACATTGTAAGACTCTATGGCTAAGCACACTCGTGATCTGTTGGTGTCATAAATCTGGCAACATGCATATGCACCATGTTGGAGGGATATTGGCCAGGAAAAAAAAAAACCTATTCAATATTTTCAATTTGAACTGCAATACCTAGATCTACACTGCACCTTTAAATCTCTTTTTAGAAGTAAATGTTACAGTTTTAGTTTTCTTTTCTCTTTATTCTCATTTCCCCTGAACCTCTAAATCAGGGGTGTCACACTCAATTTCTGGAGGGTCACAGCCCTGCACAGTTTAGTTCCAACCCTGCTCCAACACACTTAAGCTGCGGTCACACTAGAGTCTGAGCTTGCGAAATTCTGTCATACGGCGCTGTTAAAAGGGGCGGGATTAAACAAGATGATTAGACATTTAAAAAAGTGAGTGATTGCTCCATATTAAAAATTTTTGAGAGGGCATGTTTTAATCCTCAATTGGTCTCATGCAGTCAAGTGATGTGATTTCGCAGGTCAGAGTTCACCAAGCTTGAACTTTGCAATGCAGTGAACTGCGAAATTTGACACATGACCTTGCGTTTCCGGTCTGACGAATTTGCATGCGTATGAATGGAAGTCTGTGGGGAGAAAAGTCCAGTGTGACCACTGATTTACCTGTAGGTTTCAAACAAGCCTGAAGGACTCAATTAGTTTGATCAGATGTGTTTAATTAGGGATGAAACTTAACTGCAGAGTTTGACGCATGCGCTCTAAATGGTGTTTACTAGTGAGTTACATTGTGTTTGTTGGACCTTCTGGGTTTGGCTGTCATTTATGCGATCAGATGATTGTTGTGATTATGACACAATTCTGTTTTTTTCCTCTGCTCAGCTCTAAGCCCAGGAGATCTCAGTTATTGGTGGAATCGTCTCCAGTGTCCGCTGACAGCTGGTCAAAGCAGAAACAGAAAATATTTGTACAAACCTCCCAGAGCGAGTTAGCAGATGTGCTTAAACCCAAGGTAGGTTCAGATCATTAAATAACATTTGTACATAAATTAAACCAAAATTAGTAAAACAGCTCTTACGGTAAACTTTAAGCGTTGCAAAATCGCACCTTCAGACTTGAAACCAGATTAACATTTAAGTCAAATAAGCGTTTTGGAATTCAGCCCTTAGTAGGAAGAAAATCTAATTGTTCTTTTTAATTCAAGACATGATGAGGGTATTTATACTACAGGGTGGGCCATTTATTTTGATACACCTTAATAAAATCAGAATGGTTGGTGATATTACCGTCCTGTTTGTGGCCCATTAGTATATGTGAGGGGGTTAACTTTTTAAGATGGGTGGTGACCAAGGTGGCCATTTAAAAAAAAAAAGTGGTAATTACTATGAAAATGGTAATTACTAGGAAAATAGCCAAAAAAGCTAGAATTGTGTTTGCAGTTCATATATCAATTATTTGGTAACACTTTAGTTTGGACCACAATATACTGTATTAACAAACTCTTAACTAACACTATTACTAACTATTACTTAACTAACTATCTATCTATCTATCTATCTATCTGTCTGTCTGTCTGTCTGTCTGTCTGTCTGTCTGTCTGTCTGTCTGTCTGTCTATCTATCTAAGCATAAAATAAGTATAAAACAGTTTCTATAGTTCTGGTGATGAACTCAAATAATATATCTTCTTTAGTAAAAATAACACCTATAGGCCTACTGTATATGACAGACAGCACAATCTAATTAAAAACATAATGCTTGCTGTAAACTATAGGCTACATTATTTGAGCATTCGTTATGACAATAGCTACGTTTCCATCCACCTTTTTTTTTTTTGTTAATTTTGGATATGCGCATAAAAAACGGTTGATGGATACGGCAAGATGTGCATACATTTTGAAAATGCACATAAAACATAACTGATGAGGAAAAACTTTTTATTAATTATAAAAATTAATAATTAAAAATTAATAATTAAAAAAATTGTGCATAAACTATGATGCAAACTTTTACCGAACAAATTCCATTATGCGCATTAAAGTCATATTACTTTGTTATAAGAGATCATGTGATGATAATAATGTGGCCGAGCACATTGTAAAACATCTGTTTTCAAAATGTTGTTTTGGTCATTCTAAAACACCTTAACCGCCTCAGTATCAGCGTTATTTTATTATTAATGACCTCCAGAATCAAGAGCGTCTGTACTCCGCGTCTCATGCCTTCAAACGCCACCGCACGTTCACTGCGTGTCAGGATTGCCTTCTGAGGTGTGACGATATTGTTCGCTTTGACTTGCATGGAAACGCTGCTTTATTCGCACATCTTTTATGCGTAATTCCAGTTTTGCACATAAAGTCAAATCGCATTTTTGGATGGAAACATAGCTGTTGATATAATCTTTTGTGATCCAGCTTATGTATTTTTTTTTTCAGATTTTTAAAAAAAATCTATAATAGGCTAACACTATTCACCCTTATTGTTGGTAAAATAGCCAGGCTTTTAGTAAAGCCTGATATTTTCCTGCAGGTTTGATGCAGACTAAATTGTCTGAGGCCAGTTTTACTTATTAAATCCATATAGCGCTCGTCAGTTAAAATTTTTTTTTTTAATTAATCAACTACTTTTATCACAATAACAAGACTTTACAAATTCGCTATTTGCAACACTCCTCAGAAGAATAAACTCAGTAGGAAGGTGAGAGAACAGAAACGCATTGTGAGGATTGTTTTACAAAGCGGCGCACATCACGTCTGCGCAGCCGGTGCGTGAATGATTCCCTTGATGCATCACTGAGACACAGCATGCAGCCCTCCGGTATCTGCAGACACTTCCAAATCTGAACAGCACGCAGGGAAGAAGTCAGTGCGTCGAGGATCTGTCCAATGTATTATAGAGCCTTTTCTAATTGATAATTTCAGGTACGCCTACTTTGTGTGTGAATAGCAGGTAATAACCCTCTTTACTCCAGTGTTGCGAATGCAATCTGCTGATCTAACAGACACAGCGCAACATGATTTAGAAACGTCAATGAACTCCTTGTTGCTGGTCAAATTACCCATTTAATGCAAAACTAAATCCATTTCCCCGTAAATTATTTAAACTAAAAAGAACGAATAGTCTTGGAAAAAGTTTTTTGTGTTGTCATTAACGATCGGAGCACACAGTTTGATTGTAAATGAAAGGAGAATGATTGACAGGTGCAGCGGTGGGAAGCGCTGAAGTAAACATTAATTTAACCACTTGAATATTCATCAGTATTTAACATTAAACTATTGACCTTATTCTAAAATGCGGAAGAGCGCCTGTTTTCACGATTGTCTTAGAACTTCCGATTCAGTCGCCTATGGGAGAAATGACTAGGAATAATTAACGGCGGAAAACTGTCAGACTACTTGCTCTACAAACAAATGTTTGCATGACTATACAGACCAAGTAGAATAATATAATAAGAAAATATCAAATTGCAACATCAAGCAGCGTAACGAGCAGTTTTTAACGTCAAAAAATGAATGGAAGTAAATGAGACCGGAAGTCTCGAAAGATTCAAATGGCAGCGCCCTCTCGTCGGCAGAGAATAAAGTGAATAGAATGGCCTCAAAACATTTATAGCGGGCATACATGATAACTTTCTTGTGCTAATAGGAACAAGAATATAATACACAGAATATAGCGCACACGCTAGATTGAATTTGGATCGGTGCCACCTGGCTAATACTCTATCCAGCAAAAATATGAGGTTTTGAACCGATATCCGATCCATATATCAGGATCGATGCATCTCTTGTTAGTAAGGTAGAAGTTGGGTTTAGGTTTTGAGTTGGATTAGGGATGCAGAATAAGACTATACTTTATAACTACTAATGAACAGTTAATGTCTTAATACTAAGCAGGTAATAAGCCAGAAGTTAATTGTATCAATTGTGGCCTAAACTAAAGCGTTACCAATTATTTGTTCAGTTGGTTTGCTTTTGTACAGATTAAATAAACTTAATAGATGAGTGACCTGATAACATCTTTGTGAAGTGAATGGATGGCTTTAATCCTGATTTGTTGATTAGCTCTGGGGTTTCATTGCAGAATCATGTTAAAGGCAATGGGAGGAAACACCAAGAGTCTCCAAACCTGAAGAAAAGAGTCAATGGTGTCAGTCAGCAGCAGGTAAAATCCGTCATCTTGCTACACACATTATTTACTGTGCTTTACTGTACAGCTCTGTAATACTGTAATGTCTTGTAGAAAGATGACAAGAAGCTTCAGCCCAGAAGACTGCAGGATAACTTTGATGCAGGTACTTTACAATCTGGAGTTTCTGAAATAACTGATAGGATTGTATAACAAGAAATATTCATATATACTTATTATCAGGGCTTGTCATTAACTTTTTTGATCACCAGCCACTGTGGCTAGTAGTTTTCCAACGTTACTAGCCACTCGCCATTTTCACTAGCCACAATTTTGTTGGGAAAATATATTTTATATGCATGAATTTGACTTTGACTTGCTAAGTTTACTTGATTTAGATGTTGTGTTATGTCCACATGCCTCCTCATTCATTTCACTTTTTGTGTGTTGTGTATATGAGTTTACTGAATGAGCATGAGCAAATGGATTATGGTTTCATAGTGTCATATTACAATTATTTTTTATTTCACATGACTTTTCAGAGTTCAAAATTAAGGATTTACCAAATTTATCTCTAACTACACTAAAAATAAAGAATTATTTCTTAGCCACAAATTTCAAATGCGTCAAAACAAGCAAAATATGTCTGTCTACTGTAATTATTTAACAAAACATTTCTTAAAAAACAAACAAAAAAAAAAAAAAACAGTTGACATACAAAAAAATATAATTATTGTCATGTATGTAAAATATGCACAGCATTTTTTCCTGGCTAAAGATCTCAGTTCACCAGTTAACTACACATAAATGGGAAGTTAATATATTATTAAAGCAATATAACTGTGAAAAGAATTATAATTCACCCCTAAAATAGCTGTATGCAAAAGAAAGCAGGTGACAAACATACTGTGTGACAATGAATGATGGATAATCACGCACACGCGATCAATGTTAGGCCATAATAAACTGTTCAAATAATAGTTAAAGCGAAAACAACCGGTGCTGCTTACAAAAACGACAAATCTAGACCTCTTGAAAGCAGCAGAACTGTGGGTGCAGGAGCATAACTTTTTGTCTAGTCTATATGAAAAAGAACCGAACACACCAGTTGCGTTTCTAGGCACGGTTGCTTCAAGCCATAGACTGTAGGTATTCATCTGCTTTCTTTTGCTCTCATGAACCTAGATTGTAATACCTTTGGATTTTTCATTAGTTTTAGTTTCTATTTCATTTTGACTTTTTGTTTTCAAATTCAGTTAGTTTTAATTAGTTTTTAGAGGCAGATTTACTAGTTTTATTAGTTTCAGTATTAGTTTTAGTTTTTTTTTTCTAAATAAGGATGTTTGCTAGGTGCAAGATTCAAAATCAACAGAATAATTATTGTATAATAAAAACTCAGCCATACATTTTTTGATACAGGTATTCAGAAGACACATGAACGCTATTATCTACCCATCCTCAAATTCAAATACAACAGACAGCAAACTTTTCACCGAAAAAAAAATCAGTGAAAATTTTCACCCAATTTTATCATCTCAAATGTATTCAAGTACAAAGATAATTGTTAAACATTTTATTTTTGGTTATTCAGAATATAAAGTGAAAATCAAATAATTTTTGTATTTTGCTTTTCCGTTTTTCATCATGAAAAAAAAACGAGCCGTTTTTTTTTTAATTTTCGTTTTAAAATTCAAATAACGCACTGAATTTCAATTTTTGTTTTTTAATTTTAAAATGAAAATCGAAAAACGACTCGTTTTTCAATATCTGTTTCTAAAAAAGACACACTGACCAATTTTGCTAGCATACATTAGGTAAATAATTATTTTTTGCAAGTTAATCCACTGAAAGAAATGTTTGTTTTGGTCATCTTTAATCAAAGTCTGGCCATTTGCTTCCACATTTGGAGTGGCGATCCTTTTCTGTTGACAATATGCTTCAGACACAGTATTTTGAACCACACCCCTCTTATTGTTAGTTTGCTATGAGGGCATGATGCGTAAAAAGAACACATCCCCCTATGTGGACATAGGACACGCCTCCTACTCAATATTCAGTTTCAATTGGAAGTACATCATCATATTGAAGTTAATGTCTCGGTGAGCTTCCAGTTCATCAAATATTTACTGCATATTAAACTGCGTTCATCTCACATTGTCCACTATTGTTTTTCAGATGCAGCTGGTGATGTTTACCTTTATAACGGACAGGCAGACTGCTATGGGGAAAACGAGGGCATCCTCTCTTCACGGTCCTTTCTCAGCTTCAAATTCGACAAAGACGCCATCATGAAATCCTGCTTCGAGTCCTAATTAGTTTTTAAAACTGGATCTTCTGAGCTGCAAACATGTTTTGTTTGTTGGACCAAGACTACAGATATATCAGAATATTCCTTTTTCACACGCAAATGTCAGTTCCTGTTAATCTGGATCTGTAATGCTGTTAGTTTGAGTTCTTGATAATTCTGCTAAAACTTCCAATCATGAGATTTTCATGATAAAGGCGAACATTTGAGTCATTAAAGAACTTGTTCTTGGTAATCCCGCTTGGTGCTCTGTCAAGAAACTAACCCGTTTAACAATGCTTGGATTCAGAGCACCTGAAGTGCATATTCTGCTCATGTTTTATCATTGTGATTCAATCAGACCAGCTGTATGTTGACTTCCTATGGCTGAATCATTTCAGTATTCACTGCTGTGTTAAACATACAACCGTGAAAGTATAAGACGTTTAAGCTGCTCAAAAAGAGCATCATATGACTGGTACTGTACAGATTGGTCAATGTTACTCATAGTGCTAAAGCAGAAAACACGTTCAAGCACTATATGCAGTCCAGAGTCGCCAAATGTCAGCGTACTTTGTGATTTTTGTCATATCACATTTTGCTGTTTTGGTGAATAATGTTTAATCTGTTTCCTCTTTATTTCTGTGCAATGGAGCCATTTGTTTTCTGTTCTTCTTCGTTTATGTTGTTTATCATGGATTTCACACCGTCCGTGTTTATGATACAATATTATTAATATTTGTCTCTGTGAAATAGCACTGACATCTGTGGTAAGTCGACTTTAAATTATGCAATGTGATTCGCTTAACCGTATTATCAGTGGTCTGTATTGTCATTTATTTTCTTCAGTTCTTCTTTTTTTGGTAAATAAAGACACTTTTTTTCGTAAATGTGATTTTCTTATTTCATTGTTGGGTGTAATTATTTACAAAGTAATTAGTTAGTGTAATTAAAGTACTTCTCATCTGAGATAATTAGGGATTACCTCTTTTAGGGTGTCCGTGGGGTCTTTAAATGTATTAAAAGTTGATAAATCAATTATGAGGAATTTAAGGCCCTTTAAAAGGTCTTGAACAAGTTTTTAAGAGGTCTTAAATTTTGTGCAAGCGTCATCAGAAGTGTTTGCCTCCAAAAAAAAAGCATATTTATTTTCCTCTTAATATTGTGCCAGCAGTTAGTGCTCTTTAACTCTTACATGGTCGCACACTGAAGCTAAGCAGAGCTGTGCCTGGTCAGTACCTGGATGGGAGACCACATGGTGGTTGCTGCCGGAAGTGGTGTTAGTGAGACCAACAGGGGGTGCCCAACCTGCGGTCTGTGTGGGTCCGAATGCTGCAGTATAGTGACGGGGACTGTTTGTGGTCGATTAAAAAAAAACCAAGATGTCCTTCGAAAAAGAGTAGGGGTTTCATCCTGGCCAAATTTGCCCACTGGACTCTGTCCATCATGGCCTCCTAACCCTCCTCATATCATAATTGGCTTCATCACTCTGTCTTCCTCCACCAATCATCTGGGGCCTCATGTATCAACGCTGCGTACGCACAAAAACTTTGCATACGTCAGGTTTCACGCTCAGAATCACTCACGTTTGGATTTACTAACGATGAACTGAACGTGGGAATGTGCGCAGCTCCACGCCAGCTTTTTGGCTGGCGTACGAACATTTTTGTGCGTGTCTGTTTTATTTCCATAGGCGACTCCTAGAGGCAGTTGTGTTAAATTGCTCTCTACAAAGTGTCTTTGAGTCTTGCAATGGCAGCTGTATGAGACGGGTTCATGTAGCAGGTATATAAGATTTCCATACCATACAGATGACCAGCTAAACATTAAAGCGCAATTTGCAGCGGTCGCCTATTTTCCCATCGTAATGGGAGCGATCTACTGCACGCACATTGCTATAAAGACACTATCTGAAGATGAATTTGCATACGTGAATCAGAAACCTTTCCATTCAATAAATGTGCAAATAAAATATGATGCATAGACTTATTAATGATTCTTACTTGTCTTTATCGTGATAAATAGTAGGCAAAATCTGATATGTAGCGGGGAAAAAAAGAAGTATGAGTTCATCAGACGCCGGATTCGAATCGAGTTCATGCTCGAACGTGTCAAAACATGTTAACATGCGTTTTAAGAGCTGCGCCAGTGAGACTGTTAAGGGTACAACAACATTTTACACCTATAAACCACACTATTTTTCTTTAAACTCCACAGTGCGATGTTCAGACCCAACTGTGTTAACATCAGCTAAACTCTCCCACTCTATTTTTTTCTTTTGTTGTTAATACCGAAAAAAAAAACTTGCAAATAACACAGCTTTTCTCCGGTCTACCTCCAACAGGAGCACCTTCAATTCACATTCTGTTCAAAGTTTCTCTTTTGGCTTGATTTTGCCTTTGCTTTTTCGTTGGGTTTTGCCAAAGTAGAGTCATTAGCATATTCATACGGGGGAGGAGGCAGGGAGGGGTTTTGTGCTCGTGCATGTTGCGCTCAGTTTCACGTTCATTCAGATGTACAAAAGAATATACGTGAGATTCGGCGTACGCTGTTTCATACATCTGAATTTTTTTCTGCGTACGCACATTTACAGCTTTGTGTGTACGCAATGTTTTAGTATGATTTACACGCAAGTCTACGTACATGAGGCCCCTGGTGTGCATTCTGGCGCAAAATGGCTGCCATCGTGTCATCCATGTGAATGCTGCACACTGCTGGTGGATGAGGACATTCCCCCATATTTGTAAAGCTCTGTGTGGCCAGAAACGCGCTAAATAAATGTAAGGAATTATTATTATTAATATTTACAACATAGTGCCCGATCCACACGATTGGTTTGGGCCAGGGTGTGCATGGCTACAGCCACTCTTGTGTAAATTCTGAGGAGCACGTGATATGATTGAGCACAGCTGGCCACTCATTTGTAATCAGTAATAATCCAATCCGAGTGATCCTAGCTTACTATAAATGGATCACTTCCTCCTTTTTTCCCTATCTTCATTTCGGAAGAATCCCCCCTTCCACACCTTTTCCTTTTTCTCCTCTTTCTAAAGGGGGAACTATCAAGACCTACCTGATCTCGGATAATCTGATATGCTCATTGACTGGGCGGGAGCCCTGAGCTCAACTATCTCTGAGCTCAGGGTTCTCTCCCAGGACAGCATGTTAAACCTGCTATAAATGCTAAGCATATCTAAGTGGGAACTCTTGAAAATATATTTGCGTAAATTTTAAATATTTCAAAACATCAATAAAATGCAGCCACTAAATTATTGTGTATTGATCAGCGCCACCGACGTAGCTGATTGACTGAGATCGCACACTTTTTATTTAGAAAGGATCATCATTCATGCTGTTTCACATTAATTTTGTCATATGATTTTGACTATTGAATAAAGTTAAACATTACCTATTTTCAGCTGCACGGTGGTGCAGTGGGTAGCAGGTCCGCCTCACGTCAAGAAGGTCGCTGGTTTGAGCCTCGGCTGGGCCAGTTGGCGTTTCTGTGTGGAGTTTGCATGTTCTCCCCGCGTCCAAAGACAGAGAGGGGTCTGGCTGCAGACCTGGTGCAGTGCAATCTAAGCTGCATCCAATGCTTTTTAATGGGCTCACCTAACCTCAACCCTAATCAGCCTACCCATCACAGTGACGTCACTCACTCCATTTGAGTGCATTGTGTCTGACATTGCATCGCTGAGTGATGGAATCTCAGCTTGCATCATAAAGGCTGCATCCAGATACTATTGCAAAGACATGCACTATAGGTGAATTGGCTAGACTAAATTGTCAGTAGTGTGTGTGTGTGAATAAGTGTGTATGGATGTTTCCCTGTAATGGGTCGCAGCTGGAAGGGCCTGTGCTGTGTGGAACATGTGGTGGATAAGTTGGCGGTTCATTCCGCTGTGGCGACCCCAGATTAAATAAGGGACTAAGCCGAAAAGAATGAATTACCAAATTTCAGATTATATGAAGGAATGTTCACTTGGAGTTTCTTTATGACTTTCTTTGAGGTCATGGAGACCTGTTGAGTAGACCTGGATTCTTGAAGAATCTGAAACAACTGTTCCTATTGGTATTTGCTGTATTAATTATGTCTAAAGTGATATGTGCCATTTTAAGTTTAAAATATTTTAAAGTTAGTTCCTTTGTATGTAAGCTGCCAGCTTGGATGTAGATTTTACTGCTTTTTAACCAGTTTTGATAAGATGGCTAAGTGTACACTCATCCTTAGGTAAGAAACAGTTTCCTGTACTTTGAATGCCTGTTCTATTTATTTTTGGATCATTTCACAGGTCTGGGGGCAGCTCTGAAGTGGCTGTCTGACATTTGTATGCTTGAGACTGCAAACTAGCTTTAGTAAACTGTATTTTTAATTGAATCTAAGACTCCGGCTCATCCTCATCTAACAGACTGGTCAATTTTGGGTTCAAACTGTAAATTATCCCTACAACATGGGTCATTATTCATGTACTGTTATTGTAAAGTTTCCAAAGATTGGAGTTGCAAGATAATATGAATAACCCTCCAGTTTCATTTGTACATGCACTCTAAAAAAATAACTCAAGAGATCTGTAACTTAAAAATTCTAAAATGCTGATTAGATTAAAACTTTTAAACTGCCAGAATAATTTTATCACATTTTCAAAACAGGAAAATATTGATAATTACATAAATTAAGAAAATGCAGCTAATTCAAAGGTAAATATGTCTGTCAGTTGCTTTGAAACAATATTTAACTTGTAGCAACCCAAAGAAATTGGGTTGATAACTCACACTAATGGAGTTGTTTTGTATTTTTAAGTCCACACACTAATGTTTTTTGTTATTTTTTACAGTAATATGGGACAGAGCATGTTATTGTTTTGTAAAACAATGAAAACCTGTGGTTTAATATATGTAAAAATGTTGTTAAATATATTTCTTACAAGCATGAACTCTAAATTTGAAAACAAACTAAAAATCAAACATTTTTATCTACTTAATTTATTTGGGATTCTAAACTTGAAAATGTGCCTTTAATTAAGTACAAAACACTGGATTTGTTTTCAATTTTAAAATAAAAAACTAACTGAAACAACATTTTTGAGTACTCAACTTACAGATTTGAGGATTTTGCTGTGTAAAAATGACTCTGAATAGGAAAATATTTAGCTATCATAATAAAGTTTGTTGTCTGAACTTCATTTTGTTAGATGCCGTTGTATCTTAAATAATGCAAACTGTTGCGTTCTTTTTTTTTGTTTTGTCTAAACAATATTTTAAGAGTGTGGCATTGATTCCAGATTGTGTTGGGACACAATGATTGATTATTTGACAATGCTTTGATAATTGAACAAACAATAGCTTTACATAACTAATATTTAACTAATAGCTGATGTTTAATAATCAAACTTTAATAATCAAAAAATCTCAAATAAGATGATTTAATGTTTTAAATGACCCGGATTCCAGCTCATTAGACAGGATTTGTCAGCCGGGATCTGTGCACGTCTTATTGGTAATTGATGTGACACAAGGTACTTGTTAAAGTTTCTCTCAGTGGAGCTTTTATATAACAAGGATTACAAGATTTCAGTTTCAAGTCCACTTCAGGAACACTATTTCCATTCGTATATCGCACTTAATGACAAAAGACAAGGCAATGACATTAGGTTATACTGTCGGGTCAAAAATGGGAATCATAAGTGCTTATAAGAACTTTAAAGTCAGCTGTAAATCTGTTGAAGGCTTTAGAGATATCTGTCATACATATGAGCGTTAAGTTCTAAGAAATGTACAGCAATGAATGACCAGATATACAATCATTCTCTAAACTGTTGTCCTTTGTTGGATCATGAGGCAATGCGGCTTAATGTATTTACTGTAGGTATGTAAATGTGGCCAAGACGAT